CGCCAAAAAGAAAAAAACAAAAAAAGGAAAGAAAAAGGGGAGAAAGTGGGGGGAAAAAAAAAAAAAAAAAAAAAAAAAAACTTGTCTCTGATTTCAAGAAGTGGGAATATATTTCAGAAAAAAAAAAAATTGGCTTTTTCCCAAATGTACAGCAAGCCTAAGCTGGCAGACTTAAAGTGGAAAAGAAGCAGTTTAGCAGTACATGGTGTAATGTGCTTTGACATTGCAATCACCCAGACAGTTTTAAAAGGTTTCGTTGAAAAGCACCATCACACGGAAAGCCGTAGATTGCATTGCTTGCACACATCCCGGGTTTTAGGTTAGGGCATGTGCCACAGATGACACTGCAATTATTTCAGTCGATGCTACTTCATGGTCCCATCATCTGTAAATGATCCTGTCACCTTGTTGGTGAGGTGAGGTGTATGATAAATCAGAGTCAATCTACAGTGAAATGATATTTTTAGTTTTACTCCTTGTGTCGATGCTGTGTACTATTTGTAACTACAACCAGACGTGTTTAATTATGGCTTCAAAGTAAATGATGTCAGTTTATTTCAGTTTTTTTCCTTAGGGATATTTCACAATGTGTACCCCTCCTCATTTCTGGTGTTTTATCATGATTACCATGTACATAAATGTTTGAATTATTGCCAAATGTTACATATTGCTTTATTTCCCCCATTTCTGTGTTTTACATTGTTCCTGTTTTGATTACCTGCTCGGGTAAACTTGCTTAAAGATTTCTCCTGTAAAATAGGGGAAAAAAAAAAAAAACAAAAAACGTCAGTGTGTAGTGTGATTGCACATGTTCATTTTCACAGGAAGTTCATTTTGTTAACATTTAATGGTTGAAGATCACTTTAAATCTTTATGACATTAAACCTTATAAGAAATTGGCTCCCCAGCATCTTGTCACACTGAGTCTGCCCCGGTCTGTTGGTGCTCAGAGTTGTCTCGTTTCATTCCTGAAAGGCCTTCTCAACAGGATAAACACACCATTTTTAAGAGGTACATTTCGGTGTAGCTTTTTAATGGGCAATAAATCTGTGTCCACAGGCGTGGATGATACCAGAGGTACACCTCAGGGAGCACATCCATTTTGCTGCGGCCATCAGGGACAGGGGTCTTTTCATTCGCTTCCATTACTCTTATCTGATCAGGATGAGGCACCTACTCCTTCAGCATCAAGTCACACCAGGCTCCCCCTGCTGCACTCATCCAAATCCCTTAAAACCATGCTGATATGTATTTCTGTTTTCATACTTTACCTCTCACAGTATTGGCGTTTAGACTGCACACTTATGAGACCATAAAATTAGTTTGCATAATTTATAGCTTCATTTAAATACCACTAACACGTGGAGGTGTAGTGACACCGATCGCAAAGTTTGTTCTAAACCACAAAAAGTAACTGAACATTTGGCCAACTTCGCCAAGCCACTGCCAGAGATAAAATAGATTTTTAGTTCCTAATGCTACAGTGAGAAGGGAGCTATAGTGTGGGCCAAAGAACGTCTAAAAAAAAACATGTGTAAAAAAAGTAAGACATTGTTATTTAAAGCTGGGGTTTGTATGTTGTTCGTCAAGCCTCAGGAGTTTGTTATTTTTTTTCCTCCAGGAGGCTAAATGAACTGGGTTCACAGCAGATGGTTCATACATTTAGCAAGGTAAATAAAGCAACTGATGCATTGTATCATGTGCCGCTACACATAGCTAACGCAGGTGAACCCACATGAGTGAAATGTATGAATGGAACATCTACCAACAAGTTTACAGAAATAATAGCAATAATGTAGTTTGAGGGAGATGGATGCAGTTCATTCTCTCTCTGAGAGGGGGCTAGCTTTGTTGCTCTTTGACAAAACCCCCGCTCCAAACCAAAGGAAAAAAAAACGATTTCAGATGAAAGTGATGACTCAGAAATTAGGTTTTGTTAAAAGATCATAATACATAATATCTTACCTGTAGTAGATAACTCTCCTGGTGTCTTCTTAGTGTAGTAAAAATCCAGATTGGTCCTGGACGCTAATGCTAACAGCAAAATCTGAGAGGGTCCAAAAACAAAGAACAGGTCTACTATCTTTAAACGGTAGTCTCAGAACTATCCTACTGAATGCTGTTGTATGAATATTAAATCTTCTGCCACTTTTACACTGGACAAATATTTACAGCAGTGTTGATCCATTTTTACAGGAACTTGAGTTAGCGCAGCACCAATGAACTCTCCTGTGTGAAACGAAGACTGAGAACGGAACGTAAAACGTTTGACGTAATCATAAACGTATGAAAAAAAATATAGCGGCGGAAAATGGAAAAATATTGCAGCGAATAATTGCCATTAAATATTCACTAAACTTTTTTCACTGGGATGTTTCACTCAGGAAGAACATTGAAGATGCACTGCCTCCAACCTCCAATTACGCCACATCAAAAACCGCAAAAATCAGGAGTAAGAGACAATATGGAGAAGTTACAAACCCAGTTCCGATTTCCTGCTTCGGGCCTTTTGCTGCATGGGTTCCCCTTCTTACTCCGCCCTTCTTCCAGTCCAGTTACTAATAAATAAAGGCCGCCAGTGCCCCGAAGCTACATTTGAGTTGTTTTAAAAAGGCACAAGTGCACTTTGGTTCCGGCTATCCTTAAATTAGCCATTACCTTCAGCCGGCAGAACCGACTGATTTGGATTCATACATGTGCATTTCAACAACAACAAAAAAAATGAAAATATGACCAGTCAAAGAAAAGCAAAAAAACGAATACAGCCAACCTTTCTTTCAGTGGAAAGAACGTTAACTTGATGGTTGTCCAGCGGTCAGTATCCAACACTCCCCACAAACAGGGTAAGCCACAAAAGGTCACTGGTAAAGAATGTGCAATGTGTGATAGAAAAAGATGTATAACCAACTTAATAATCCAAGCCTGGAAAGGATCGTAAAGCTAAGAACATTCATGGTCCAAAAAAAAAAAGAGAGAGCTTCAAATGTGAACATTTTAGAATTAAAAGTCATTTTCTACATTGGCATCATGAAATATAGAACTGTAACTTTATTTTGGGTTTTCATCAGCAGTAAGCAGAAAGCATCAAAATCAACATTAAATTCTTGGATTAAATTACTGAACTAAGTTTACTTTTGAGTGACATTCTAATTTAGTGAGATGCATTTGTAAACATACACACCAAAAATGATCAACAGCAAGTAGGTTCAGCACTTGAGAAATACTGAAAGATCTCTTTAGGTTTCTCCTGGCGTGGCATCATCCAGTGCATATTTGCTGCCATCGAAATGACAGGAGAATTTTTCAATTTTGACAGCACAACTGCAGGCTTCTCTTTCAAGCACTGCAGTTAGTGGAGGAAAGCGAAGGAGAAAGATAAAAGGTTGGAGAGGCATCCCGAAGCCGAGATGGTATCAGGCCTTTTCGAAGGATCTGTGCTGAGAGGGGCGGACGTGGATCAGCAAGCCGCTGATGAAGACGTCTCTTCTAGCAGGAAAGAGCGGCCGCACATCCACTTTAATTAGAGCTGGGGCCTCGCATTCACATAAAACAAGAGGGAAAAAGTTTTTTTTTTTTTTTTTTTTTTTTTTTTAAGGTGGTGGTGGTGGTGGGGGGGGAGTTGTTAACATTTACAATGGGACTTTAACAGTGCAGTCTCTGAGCATTTCCTTTTGATTAGGCCGGTTAAGCGGTTTTGTAATTATAATTGAAAAAGACATGCAGCAGAAAAAAAAAGAAAAGAAAAATCACTGCAATATAACATCCACATCCATTAACAAAACCATAAAAAGAAACGGTAGATAATCATCACTCTTCTTCTATAAGCTGAGATCTGTGGTAAAACAGACTAACATTCAATTGAGCACAGAAAAAAAAAAAAAAAAGTAATGAAGCCGAGTCACTTCAGACTGCTGGAAAATGTTTTAATGGGTTAATGCAGGCATTCTTGCAGACAACAACTTCATAATTTTTTCCAAAGTTTTCAACGTGGCGTTGATTGATGAGTAATATCATCGAAAAATGATGCTACTCTCACTTTACAAAATCCTCCGAAGTGTCTGTCACACCACACTACATACAAGACGGACTGAATAACCATGACAATACCCCCCCTATTGAAACACAGAATAACATCGCCAGTAGAAGTGATGCTCAGCATCCTACAGATATCCAAGCATGTTAGAGGAACCTTTTACTCAATTCATGTACTTCTGCACAGATGTCGAATAATTGCAGAAAATAAGCTGTTAAAAGCAAAACTGGAACTTTTGACACTTTCTTTTGACAATAAAACAACCATGCATTAGTCTCTCCACTTTTAGTTCACCACAATATACTGAGCATATATATTTGAAAGTTGGCAATACTAAAAAGGAACAAATTTTCTTTTTTTTTTTTTAGTAAGAGTTCACAGATGTATGATCTGGAATATGTAATTTGAATGGGAGACGGAGGACATATTTCCATAAATGTCCAATGTTTTCGTAGATTTGGGCCAAACAGACACTTTTCCATCTTACATGGATTGACACTTGCCTTCAAAATAGCAGATTACTACCCCCCCTCCCCCTGACAAATACACAATAGAACACACTTTCTTGTACATTGGTCTTCTAAAGATGGTTCAATTGTCATTTACATAGAAATGGTGCCATCAATATGGGGCATACGCATATTTTCAAAAAGTGTAAAGAACTGACCTTGCACTGAGTGTTCATGCTTTTTAATGTCTAGTCACAAAACGGGCTAAACATTACAAATATATAATATTTCCCATTTAGTTAAACCTTTGTTACGTTCCTATAGAACTCCATATCAAAATGACTATACATGGGAACTAGTGCAACCTGGAGGAGGCCTGGTCTTTGTGACAAGGCAGGCACGGAGTAAAATAGACGAAGTGCTCTTGAGCAGTTCCAGAGCAATGGCAGATATATTAAGGCCATTTTGAAAATTACAGGAAAAAAAAAAATGTAGAAGAGAACTTGGCTTGCTGCCCGCGCTAAACAGAGTTCAGCCGGGGCAGCAAAGCAAGCAACACCGATTGAATCAATTGTTTTCCAATCCACAGATGTCAAACTTCCATGTGCCAGCCTCCCCCCTCAATGTCTCTGGTCAGAAAGCTCCACTCCTCTTTATTCAAGTGTGTTCAGTTTTGGTGGAAATAAAAGAGTGGCACACTCACTAGTCCTTTTCTTTGTAAAAACCTCCATGCTTCATACCCTTCTTTATAGTCCAGGAGCAAAGTCGGGCAGTCAGGACTGTTTTAGGCGCTTCCTCGGAAGACCAAAGGGTGGGCACTGTGCGGAAGCCAGGGCACGGAAGGCTTCGGCTACCAAGTGAGGATGGGACTGGATCATTGACTTCCAGCCTGCGGTCTCCATTATGTCTGTGGCGTGACTGTAAGCACAGGCAAAGTGAAGTTAACACCAAGACGCCATGATCGGCACATTAAAAAGCAATAAACATAAATGAGATTGTAATGCAGGAGAGCGCTGACTCAGCAGCTGCATCTTCATCCAGAAAAGGACCAGAAGTGCTTTTCGCCACAAAGATAAACAGAAAATTAATTCTAAGAGACGCATAAAAAAAAAAAAAAACAATAAAAAAATAGACGGTTTCAGCCTGGCCGTGATCAGTGATTGATTAGCAAACACACCCTAAAATAATGCTAACACATCGTCATAGCAACACTAATCTTTTGTGTGAATGTCGCTATTGAGAGAAGAAAACTTAAAAGGTGTCTACTTTCATTATCACTTGAGTGTTTGGAAATTAAATCAAAGGAAGGTTCTTTTGAAAGAAAACCATTTTATCAAACTGTGAAAAGTGTTAAAGGACACTTGAGACGGATGATGTGAATTCTGAACTAAGTGTGGTAAAAACTGCTTTGAGTGTTTTGAGATCTGTGTTTTGAAATGTATTTAGAAATGCTGGCAGCCTTTTCTAAATTTCAGTTAAGTGCTCTAAATTCTCTTGTGAATCCATCCAGCTGTCATTAATGCTAGCTCCGCTAACTGGTAAGGCAGTTTAAAAGTGCCAAATACACCTTAAATGTCATCATTATTTCAAGAAAGTAAAATCCTCTTTATAAAGACTGATTTATCGATCGGTGGGGTGTCACCTCAGCACCTCAAAGCTTTACAAGAACCAGCAAAAGAAAAAAGAGCCATAAAATTCTGCTCTATCCAGGACCCACCACTGCATGCATAAAACAACCAAAATAAAGTTCTTCATTTCAAGGTGTCCTGAAACACTGCACTACATCATCGAAAAGAAAAACTTGCTTCCTTTCTTTAAAAAATAAAACAAATATTCCTTTTTGCGGGGTTTATCCAAGTATGAGTCTATTAATAACTTGGATCCAAAGATAAGGGGCTTCAAACTGAAAAGGCAAACAGCACTCTGTCTGCCTAAGCTAAAACAATGAATTCTAATGCATCTGGTAGGGGGAAGAGATAAGAGCGTGTTATTAATCTTGTGTCACATATATCAGCTAATTACATACTTGCTATTCCAGTTCTTTCCATCTTTACAGCCCAGCTGTCTCAGGACACTGCACCTATGGCAAGGAGATAAAAAGGTAAGCATTCAAGGCTGGTAAACAGAAATGGCAGCAGGAATTTATCACTTTGCCTTTTTTTTTTTTTTTTGCGATACTTGCCTGTTGATAAAATCTATGGCTTGTGCTTTGAGTTGCTCGGCACTGTGCAAGTCAGCCAAGATGAGGGTGTCGGCCACATTCTCCACTGAAAGGCTGTTGCACAAGGCCTCCTCACACATGACCTTTAAACGCTCCAGAGCATACTAGAGAGGGGGTAAAGGGGGGAAACAGGATACAGCCGTGATCGAAAGGTTAGGAAATGCATTCAGTTGGTTTAGGGATTTTATTATTTGAGACTGTCCGCAAATCTGTTTTCAGTTAAAATGTGCGTAGTGAACCTACGATCATCACAAAAAGCTTGATTATACTCCTAATATTAGTTAAAAAAAAAAAAAATGAATCTTTTATTAATGAAATGACTGGTTCTGCCTTTCCATCAGCTGCAGTTATAATATAAATGCAAGCAAGTCTAAAACCTTTTTATTGTCTCCAGGAACACACCTTTCCACCATATGACAGATACAGCTAAATCACATGTTGCCTGTATGCCGTGTGCTTACAACCACCGGTTGTATTCTGCCAGTAGGCTGCACATGTTGTTGTTACATGTGTAATGTGTCTCACAAATGTGCCGTATTTCCCCTGCGCTTCCTGTCTCTGTTACAATGAAACTGACAGAGATAAAAGAAGAGGTGCCGACTCCCAGAGCGCTCAAAGAGGCGTGTCCACAAAAACGCAGCATCATCAAAACTAATCAGGCAGCAACAAATCATTACAATAACATTTAATATGACACAAGAGGTGCCTGTGCTACAAAAACATGTCAATAACATTTAATAATGCAATGCTTTGAGCAGAAGGCAGAAGATAGAATGCCTCCTGCTTAAAATGATCAGGAGTGTGCAATATTTAAAGGGGCATAGTACACATGATGTATTTTGCCTTATTTTCAACAGGAAACATGCTAAATTTCAGAATAAAATCATCCATTTGAACTAATTCAACATGGGAAGACAACTAAACATGACTACAGAGTTGTCAAGTTGCTTTATTTTCTAACTGTAGAATCAGTTTTTGTTTAAAAACCTAGCATTGCTGTATTAGTTTCTGAGAGACTAATGTTTTTTCCCACTAGATGTGAGCAGTGACTTTCAGATGCTGCTCAAGGGAGTTACACAACCCTTCCTCTGTGTTCACAGGACAGCAAACAGTTTCAGAAACTGACAGATACATTTTTGATTTTACAAATATCACATTAAATTGAATCTAAGAATTTGCTATAACACAAAAATTTCAATTTGATATACTAAAAGGATGACTTTCTTGTCAACTTGCTTTTTACATGGCCTGCCACACTTTCTGGCAACTCCTGGTGGAATTATAAAAATTCCTAACTGTAGTGGAATAATTTCCAATTGAAAGTTTTAGAAAAATTTGACCTTTAATTTGAAGTTTTTATAACGGATTCATTTCTAAAATTTAAACTAACTTTTAATAAATTCATCAGTAGTCTAGGAGCTTGGTGTTTTCCTGGCATGGGCCATGAATAACTTCCCTAGGGCACTTTTTCCAAAAATCCTCTTTTCTGAATGCTCCTGAACACAACCATGTAAACATTTAACAGGACAAGACTATGCATCATCTTACTGGACAGCTGGTATGGCAGTCTGAGATGTGAATATTTTCCACATGAAATAAATACTTTTTTATTGTTATATTATGCTGCTATAAAAATATATAAGAATTTATTTTTAGGATCTTCTGCAGGGATGCGCAAATGTGTAATATGCATTCCAGGGTCAAATCCATATATTGTAGGTGTTAACCCATTGCATTAGAGTAATAATCTCAGCAGTCGTCAGTAAATCCAATGGGATATTCTAACCTATTTTACATTTCCAGTGGAGCAGATGAGAGTACATAATTATGCTCAGGACTATATAATGCAAAATGTACTGTTTTATTAATAAAGATTTATTTTAAACTAGCTACTTTGTTTAAAGTAGAATCCTGACATAAAGACGTCTTTAGAATAAGAGGTGAAATGTTTTCAAGCAACCAGCCGTCTTGTTTCCTTCCACTTAAGCACTTAGATTTTCAGTCACCCACTTCCTGGGTAACTGAGAAACTACACAAGTGTTCTTTGTGAAAATAAAAATACATCATTCATATATAATTACCGTATGTTTTTCAAATTATTAACTGATAACCATCTAGAAATTGTGAGGATTGGCCATACTAGGGATTCCAATTAAGAAAAAGTTAAAGGAAGATAATGATCGGATACAAATGGAGCTGACAAAGCTAACCTTCCACAGGTACTTACTTTATCAGCAGCTGCCAGCAAATTGTCTGCCATTTTTTCCAAGTTTGGCGCCTTCCCTGTATAAATGAAGCCCATCATTTCCCTAAAGACATCTGGATCCACATCACTGATGTCAACTCGATTCTGCAGATGAAACAAAATGTTTGTTTACTGCACATAAAATTATGATGTCATGGATTACAGTGCTTTACAAAACTTGATTTTTTCCCCCCACAATCTGAACAACAAAGTTGATGCACATTTGTTATTTGTTTTTTCAAAAGAATATTAAAAAAAAAAAAAACATGTGGTTTTTTTGAAGACAGAAGAAAGAGACAGAAAATGAATAAAACAAAGTGTTCTGATCAGATAAGACCAGACCGAGATGTTTTTGGCTCACATGAAGAGCATTATTAGGGTCAGAAACTTAAACAACATGAGCACAACATTCTGAAAGAAAAACAAATGGCCCAGTCAAAGTTAAGAGCTAAATTCAATTGAGAATATGGGGAAATACTTTAAAATAGCTGTTTTTTACAGTGAATCCTCATCAAACATGCCTTCTGAAGGGAAGGTTTTATTTAAATGCAACAGACTAAATAGGGCTAGCAACATGTGCATGCCTCGCTTTCACTGTCTTCAGGATCACATAAAATGTTTTGGGGGCACTTCAGTCGAAACAAACTGAAGTTTGAGGGTATAACTAGACAAAACACAAAAAACTCTAAAAAGTGTGAAAAGAGGCACTGTAGAGTAAATACTTAAGCCATTTGGTGGGATTTAGCTTCCTGATTGCTAACACGGCTGCAGCATTTTAGCAATCAAGAACCAGTTTGTGTATTGAGGACACGGGAG